CATGATATGAAACAACCTGCAACAAAACCAGACAAAGTGAACATTCTGTTATATGACATAAATGAGAGGCTGATGTATGCGTTAATATCTGGCAGGAAATCAAGCCAATGTTGTTCAAGAATTAGTTAAGATTCAGAACTGCAAGACATTATGATATAATTATAATTAAGATGAATATTTATAATTATAAAGGATTTAAGATAAATGTTTATCGATGGGTAATTTATGACAATATTAAATAATTAGTAAATGCTCAAAATATTTTCTAAAAAAATTCGAGTTTCTCAAGGTTCAGTTAATTCTATAAAAAGACACTGATTTACCGAAAGCAACTGACAACATAAGTTTTGTGTTGCTAAATAGGAAGACTTGGTTTGGTTACAGCTGAAATCGAAGGTTTTCTAGACGATAATGTGTTTGTTCAAAACTCAGTCTGCTTGATTTTTTAAAAAATTACTGCAGTATATAAAAAGTGCTATCAGTTTCTTTTGATTACAAAAAATCTAGAGACCCTTTTTATCTTTTTTTTTTGACCGCGGCGTTGTTCATCATAGAAATTCTGATTGGAACTGAACGGAATTTGAAGAACGAAGAAAATTTTAACTGCGGTATATAAAAAGTGCTATCAATTTCTTTGATTGGAAAAAATCCGAGAGATCCTTTTTATTCTTTTTTTTTGACTGCGGCGTGTTCATCATAATAAAAAGCGCTTTGATTTGAAAAAATCCAAGAGATCCTTTTTATTCTTTTTTTTGACTGCGGCGTGTTCATCATAAAAATTGGAATATTTAACTGCATATTGCGCGCATTTACTTTTTACAATATTGTTATTGTATTTGTATTCTACTAATCACGTCCAAAAAAGCTCGTCAGAGTTTAGATCATCTTCCGGCTGGTCTGCCGTAGTAAAGTCAATCGGAACTTGGTTTAAAATTTCAACGCTAAAGACTAGTGATGTTAACGACTCGACTCAATTAAATTCAAGTCGAGTGAAATACAATATTTACAATAATACATTATAACGATGGTATCGTTAATCCAATTTTTTAAAACACAAATACGCACGAGTACACTATCGTTTGTCAATCTATTTCTTACTTTACTAATAATAAACTTCACAAGGAACTGAACTCGCAATAATGATAAAAAATTTACGTAATAGAAATTTAATAATTAATATCGATACATAATCATATGTTCGACGCAAGATTGGTAGCGTAATTAATTTTCAAAGGAAAAGTATCGGTATATAAAAGTATATGACTCCGATCACATGCTACGCTCTATTCCATTGCATTAAAATAAGATCTTTAAAGAAATAGCAGCTTTAGATTTCATTATTCTTTGAAACAAATTATAGAGAAATAAATAATTGGATTCTCAAAAAAAAAAAAACTATAAATTTTTTTGATTTTGTATATCCTATTGGAAATAATATTAGTAACATAAAAAAGTTTAACTCAACATATCATTATCAACTTATGTTACCCGAAAAATCAAAGAAACTCGTCGTCCTTTCGGTATAAGGTTTCCTCGAAAAACATGATTTTCTGGTTGCATTGGAATTTCATGAGTAAATTTGGATCGTACAGATCCTCTAATAGAATGTATTATTATGATTATTATTTAATTTATCAAGATCACTAAAATATAAATGTATCATAGTATATACCTTTGAATATATAAAGATCCAGGCTCTAATAAAACTGAAAACGCGCATGATGGATCATCCACATGTCGAAATATCATTACGGCCGATGATATTAAAGATACGCCCATGATTACTTTACCTGAATACTAATTAATATAGACATAAATTAACAATCAATTAATGCCTTAAATTCTGTAAGTACACAATAGCTAATAATCACCTCTATATTGTCAACGTGTGGTCTGATACCACCCCATTCAGCCAATTCTAAAATGTGAATTGGATTCCATTTTTTTACATCTGGAGCAAGATTATACACTTTATTCTTTAACAATTCTCTAAGCTCACGAAGTTCGTTATCTCTAATGTTACTAATGTTATCCCTATGCTTTTCCTCAGGATAGTCAATCCAATC